TAACAAATCTGACAAAAGGACAAGTATCCAGTTTACTTGCATGTAACTATGAAGTTTTAAACTAAACAGCCAATAAACATATATTTAAAACTAATAGGTACAGGTAACAATGAAAACACTTCAGTGCGTTAATCTGTTGGCATCCTACCACTATGCACATGTTCGTGTAACACTACTAGTAATTACCCTGAAGCACAGGCAAATGTAGATGGGGGACTCCCTAAAAAGCAAGTTGAAGGGATTAAATATCATCATCATCATCATCATCATCATCATCATCATCAGCATCACTACTGAGGACAAAGCTGCTGCCTGTGGACGGGGGCTCCTCTTCCTTAGCATTCCCCAAACCATCCGAAGTCCCCCTCTCATCAGAATCGTCAAACAACTTCTCATTTGAATCCTCCTCCTCATCAAACAACTTCTCATTGGAATCGTCATCTTCAAACAGCTTTCCCTCTACATCTTCATCTCCCTTTCCCTCTGCATCTTCATCTTCCTTTTCGTCGGAGTCTTCAAACAGCTTTCCATCTGCATCCTCTTCTTCCTCCTTTTCATCAGCATCTTCAAGCCCTTTCTCATCCGCATCTTCGCCCTCTTTCTCATCGGACTCATCGTCAAATACTTTTTCATACATATCTTCCTCTTCTTCCTTCTCATCGGAGTCTTCACCAAATTCTCTCTCTGGGCCTTCCTCATCTAACACTCTCTCGGAGCCATCATTTTCAAATTCTGAGTTTTCAGAGTCATTTTCTTCAAACTCTTTGTCAGGAACGTTTCCATGAGACTCCTTTTCAGAGCCATCCTCATCACAATCTTTTTCAAGACCATTCTCTTCTAATTCTTTTTCGGAGCCTTCTTCTGACTGTTTTTCAGAGCAGTCTTCATCAGACTCTCTCTCTGAGTCATCCTCCTCAGACTCTTTTTTGGGGCCAGCCTCCTCTTCAGACTCTTTGGCAAGGCCATTCTCTTCATAATCGTATTTGAGTATTTTCTTTTTAGATTCTCTTTCAGGGCCATTTTCTTTCAACTCCTTTTTAGGACTGCTCTCTTCAGACTCTTTTTCGGGGCAGCCTTCTTCTGCCTCTTTTTGGGGACCACCTTCTTTGGCATCTTTTTCAGAAGCATCTTCTTCAAATTCTCCCCCATCTTGTGTCTTTTCAAACTTCTTCTCATCTATAGGTTCTTCAAATGCCATTCCAGTTGCAGCTTCTTGAGCATTCGTTTTAGATGTGCTAGGGTGCTCTGAAAAATGCCTTATTCTAGAAGGCCCTGCCCTTTCTGAAGCACAGACGGAATTGGAACGCTGAAGGCCTTTATTGGCCTCAGGAGTGTTGAGGAAAGCCTCCCATCCTTTCAGCCTTTCCTCCCTTTCTCTTGAGGTCTCTTCCACCTG